TCAGTGAGGCGTGAAAGCTATTCCATCCCATTCCCAAGGCAGTATTTATAAGCATAGGGAGTGGGGTGGTCATATTACATATGATGACTGTGCCTTTATTAAAGTGGCCCAAATTATTCTTTACACATATATCTATTTTGGCTAGTCTAATATACTGAAATAAATACAACAAGAGACAGCTAATAATAACACATCGATCACAATAAAATTTCTTCTAACGTTCTCCCTCTTTGTGATTAAATGTCCTTCATTTCACCTCTTGTTTATTTCTATCTCTTGAAGTAGTTTCTCCTTAGTGCTAGAGCATGTTCGTACTGGCGCAATGATTGTCGCTTTTCAAGTCGTTCGTTGATAGCACCTAGCACCTTGGTAATTCTCTCATGTTCCTTCAACTCTTCTTTGTAGCGTCTGCAAGTCTTGGTTTAATATCTTCTTCTTTTGCTTTCAACTTGTCTCTTATGATCTTCAAGTTCCCGTGGCAGAATTTGGTAACCTCATCCAGTAGCATTAAGCGGAATACACGCTTCTTTTCTTCATGATTAAGATATACTATCCCGAAATCAGGTTCATCAAAAACATGGAGAGGAGGGCACTTCTTGAGTCCTGGTCTGAATAGTCTTGAATTTGTGAGGTTTGCCTTCTTTACATTATTTTCGAGGGCCATCTGAAGATCAAAAGTGGCGTGAACTCGTACTTGTCTCAACATAAATCTTCTGATTGCTTCATACCCTTCTTTGAGAATTTCTTTTTTTGATTGAGAATTTCCTGTATATCATTGACATCTGGCAGATGTCATCCATTTTAAGCAGCATGAAATCATTCTCTTAGCAGGTAAGTTCCGTTCCATCAGTACATTGAAGCCTGTAAATAGAAAACTTGATACCACCGAGTTCACCTTCAGACACTCCTAGAGTGTTCCAGATGGGAGATTTGCTTGTTCTCAGATTATGTTCTAAGACCTCTTGTTGTCGTCCCATTGATCGGTTGTAGAGAATATGAAGATGTCCCCTTATCTGCTTTTCTTTCGGATGGGTAAGAGCTCTGACTTTGAGTTCATCGAGTTTCTTGAATTTGTCAGGTCTTCTCCATATATGCTTGCTTATTTCCTCTTGGAAAGGGGGATGTGATTGTAATGTTTTCCCAAGGTTTCTCATTTTTGGGTGGAAGAGTTCTTGTGCGTCTGATGACCTTGAGTAGCTCTGCCGGAGCTTTGTTATAGTCCTCCCCTTCCGTGAGTTCCTCATCCTCGAGCCAGATCAGGTTGGCTGCACATTTGTTAAACAGCTCTCAGAAGTAGAATATCTTTTGCATGTCAACCTATTCAGCTTCTTGCCTTAAATCATCCCATCCAGTCCACCTGTTCCATCTTTCATCGAGGACATATTTTTCAAGTTGGTCATGGATTGATGGATCATGATCGTTTGGGTGAGCTTGTTGTTGTGGCGACATGTGAAAAGTAACTCCCGGATAATTAGGATTGGCTGTTACCATCATGTCAGAACTAGGTTCTAATAGATGGCCTGAATAGATAGGTGTACATGAAGTAGCAATTCAACATCAGGACTTCCGCTCAATCCTTGGCCAACATCTATAAAAAATGATCCTAAGAGCGTTCTATCTTGCATGACCAAGCCAAAGGTTAGAGGCTGAATAGTGCGGGTTTTGGGTTGTGAGGAGGATTAATGTTGTTGGGTTTTTGAGGAGGAGGGTTGGTTTGGTTGGTTAGATGAGGCATCTTGTTCGAGGCTGCGAAGCTGAATCATCAGGGTCCTCATGTGAACGTTTGAGGCTGCAGAGACTGTCACAACAGGTAAACTCGATTTCTAGGAGGTAGAGAAGTTTTTGTTGATTGGGGGCAAGGTTAGGTTCGGCTATAAGGCATAGGTAGATAATGTCGATTAGAGAAGAAAAAGGTTCAGTGTTCGGGTCAATTCGGTTAAAGAGTCAGTTAGGGGAGGAAACTATTTCAGTGTCCTGGGTTTCTCAAGAAATGGTAAGTGTGGGTAGGCGTTGGGTTGAGTGATCGGATAAGGATTGGGTAGCGGTAGGTATTGGATCTAATTGGAGCGTTTGGATTTGTCTTGAACCCTGTGTAACTGTGGTTATTGCAGACTGAACCCTTGGCATTATGTTGGACTCAAGATAACGATCCAGAAAGTCGACAATGACTATTCGGGTTGTGGGGTCGTCACTTCCGGTAGCGGGGGTGCTAACCATTCTCACAACATCAGTAAAGAGTATGGATGTGTGGCCTACAAATAATGGTGTAACCATTTGTTGCATATAGTAGCAGGACTCCCGATCATCATCTCCAAACGTTGCATTTTGATATAGTGGACCTGTAGTGAGTGGTGTGAGAAGTGCGGTTGTCCTAGAAAAGTTGGAAAATGTATGGAGTGTAACTCGTAGACTCGATGTGAGAGGAAAAAGGGTAATGGTCTGGGGAGGTTGACCACTTATTATAAATATGGGGCTATTTATATTGAAACTACTACCTGTTGAGAGGTAACAAAGTGGCTTGGTGAGGGCTGTACGTGAATGCTCAGTTAGACCAGATGTTGCATCTTCTACCCGAGAACTGATAAGGTCAACTTCTGCACCTATGGGTTTGGTCTGGCTTATGTTCTGGATATCTACACAGTCATCAAATAGAGCCATTTCTTCTTCAAGACTACTTTCAGTCTGTACTCTTTGAGTCAGTTGGAATGATGAAGAGGGGACATCATTGTGATGCTTAGAACGCGTCTCATTTATAATGGCGCCTTCTTGGTTCTTGCGTGAGTAAGACGCCTCTGATTATGAACATGAGTGGCCTTTGCTTGATTTGCATTGTTATCGACATGACATCATCACCATCCTCATCATTGTCATCGTTGTTGCTCTTATTAGCCTTGTTACCAGAGCCCTCATCGTCAACATTTATTGTAGTTTTGGTTATGTTGAACGAGTCATGGGAAGCATCCTCAACAATATGGGGGTGGCCCTCAGCAGAGTGAGTTCTCTCAGGAGAGTTCTTGGTTTGATCATCATGGGGCCGACTTTCCACTGGTGTCTGTGGCGAGGTGTTTCTCACTGGACCCTCACTGGCTCTCGGCTGACTCCCTTGAGAATGCTCAAGGGGTTTATCTGATTCATTGGGAGTATGATGTTGTGTCTCTGGCAGTAGCGGATGATTGCGTCGTGATTTGGTTCTGCTAACTGCAGGAGCGGTAGTGAGACTTGCATAGGGACCAAAGAGGGGTCTGTTAGTATATATGTCATAAAGACAATCATTTATGTAGAGATATATGTACTTGATCACATTCAGTTTTATATATTAGATATATACGGTATTAGTGTAGTACACATCGATGATTAAACATTTCGATTGTCAATCATATACACACAGAAAGATGCTTGTCTCGTTTGAAGCAACCTCATCCCTTACAAATATTCAATTTATCTTAATCTTTCATATAAAAATTTTATGCAAGTATCACTTTAACAAAAATGGTAGTTGTATGATTATGAAATATACTGAGATTATCACCATAAAAGTGCAGGAAAAAGACCTCATGATTCAATGTGAGCAAAAAAAGATATCTGCAAAATCATATCGTTTTAACACATCGGTAAGCTTGACAAATGAACATCACATTGCTCACTGAAAAACATCCATCTGTTTTTATGCCTACAAAAGTGATTTAGAGACCTAATAAAAAACCTTGTGGACATTCATCTAATGAAACTTGCACTATCTTATCATGACAACAATCAATTATACTCTTATAGACATCATTTTTACCAACAACCGCCATTAAACCCTCTTTATCATTATGTTGTTTCCCATGGTAAAATCTCCGACTCATGCTACCACTGTTGCTGATGTGTTCTAGTACACAAATAAGAACATACGAGTTCTTCCTCAATTATAAAAGGCATTGGACAATCAAGCCATTGTTGCCAATGTATTCTAGTGCACAAATAAGAACATGCATATTCTTCCTCAATTATAAAAGGCCTTGGACAATCAAGCGAGTAGTAGGCTTGTCTTTAAGGATATCATACTAGAAACAATCTTCAATAACACACCATCACATGAGATGACACTTTTAATAAAGGTCGTATCGTTAAATTAATTGTTAACAAATTATAAAATTAGACATATTTGATGACCCTATTTATAAAAACATTTAACGTTTTTGCATTGAACATTATGACATAAGTTGCATTTTTTGTTTTAATTGTGTCACTTTATTTTTATTTATCTTTTCCTGTTTTATGAGATCTTTATGCATACAAATTCCATTACATAAAATGTTATTATCAAACCTTTTAATGTAGCTTTGTGGACTTGTATCCATTTTTCAGCTTATTAATCAATATTTTTATATAATTTAATGAAAATATTGAAGTTACTATTCTGATTGAATTTACTTACTTTGCGACTGGAGTGAAGATATTGTAAGAGTATTTTATACGGAGTAGTATTTAATGAGTAAAATGAGTAATGAATTTTATAATAATTACTATTGTAATTACTATTCTGGTTGGAGCAAAAAACTTTTAGTTTTGCGCATTCTACTATGTATTAGTCAAAATAAATAAGATTGTAGTTACTAATTTGATTGAATACGGAGTATATTTTATTTTATATCCTCGGCTGGTCAGAATTTCAGGAATTTCTTGTCAAACTAATCAATTTTCGAGTTGCCAAATGGACTTAGAATTTGAAATTTGTAATCTTTTTATTAATAGAACTTTCTAGTAAATTTAATTGAAATTTCGAGTTAATGCCCATAAACGCAAAACTCAAAAGATTGCAATTTAATAAAAGTGCAATTAGATTTGCCAAAAAAATAAATAAAAGTGCAATTAGTACTCTTAAATTTCAAATGATTTATACGGAGTAATCAAAGTTATGAGAAGGTAACTGATGGAGTAAATAGTTTGTGAAAATATTTAACCTTCAAAAAAATTGTGAAAAATTGTTTTTTTTTTATTTCTGAATTGTTGAATAACAAAACTTGTACATGAACGGAGTATGATACAGTACAACACAAGCATCTATTGCTTGCTTCTTCTCTTCCCCCATTTCTCTTTCATTTCTTCACAAAGTTAAGACTCCGTATTAGATTCCTTCAATACTCTTTTTTTGCCCATTGAATTTCCCAAGGACTCTGAGCTAATACTGAACTACCCCAATTGTCAATCTTTTGTTTCCTTTTCATACATAAACCTGATTACTCTGTTTCTTTCAATTTGCTGTTTTTAGGGGTTCCTTTCTGACTTTATGATACACAATCCTTCTTGGTCTCTTGATTTTTTGATCTTTTTTCCGCAGAACCTCTCTATTGCAGAAAATGTGCCTCATACCCATTAATCCAAATTTGTTGTAGAAAAATTAGCTCAAGAAATCATTCAAAGTGATATACACACACAGAATTATTTTCACTCCCGTTTCTCTTAAAAAAGTCACTTTATTCAGGGAGAAAAATCATTCCTTTCTTCGGATTCCTAATAGGAAGTATCCTCAAAATTTGATTTTTGATATTAGGGGAAGAATTCATATTTACTGATATGGGAAAGCATGGACCTTGCTATCACTGTGGTGTTACAAGTGAGTTTATATATTTTCCTTGAAGTATTTGGATTATTCAATAAAAGTCGGAATCTTTATTGGTTATAACATTCTGAGGTGGTTCTAATCTTCTCTCAGCGGGTTTCTATGCTTAGATTGTATAAGAATTAAGGAACCAAATGCCCATATCCCGGCCTGCACGTAAAGGGTGGAAATTTCTTACACTGAAAAATATTGAGTAATGTGTGATTTTTGAATTGATTTGATGGTTTCTTTTGGCTGCAGGTTCCTATACTGTCTATTGATGGCATTCTGAGTTTACGACCTTTTTATCTTGTTTACTAGCTGTGTAAAAATAATACCTTAAACACTGCTTTGCAGTTTTTGAAAGATTCAGTTCTTCCCTATACCTAGGAAATGTTATCATTTTGACAATATGTTAGATCAGGAAATCAGGAATAGAAAGAATCTGTTCCCAAGGGTGGGCTATGTTTATGGGAATGGTGTTCAGTATCTTTCTGATTATGATTCTCTTATAAATAGAAATTGTTTCTCCAAGTCATCTTCACCGTTCTAGTGATTGTCATTTTCTATTTTTCTCATATCTGCTTTCTACTGTATTTCCAAAAATCAAACACCCATCTCCTTTAACTTTCTAATGTCAACTTTATTTCTAATATTTTTTTCAAGGTGATCTTGTTGAAGTAATTGTCTCACATCGATTAACAATCGAAATAGCAAAGTGACATCTTAGTCGAAGGAATTTCTTTAGTCCTTTTGGTTACTTCTTATACAAATGTTAATTTTTTAGCATGGAATGTCCATTCATTATGTGTTATTGGAGCTGACAGGATCCATAAACTTTTTAGAATGAAAAGTCCAAAATGTTATGTATCATTCACGGTCTAAAGAGTTCAGTGGGAACATGTGCCTTATCAAAAATTAAAATTAGGCGCGAATTGATGCAAAGTGTAGAAAAAATGACAAACTGATACATAACATTTTGGACTTTTCATTCTAAAAAGTTTGACACTAAAATGAATTCTGAAGTCTTAATGTATTGTTAAAACATGTATCTGGGTGGGATTGAAGAGGAGAATTAGCCGCATGTTTGCGTCTTATTATGTTGCAATGTCCATATCAAAGAAATATGTTCTCCTTAATTCTGTTTAGTTGGGTTTTCACAGTTATTATTAGTAGTGATATCTTCTTCTGTAAACCAAATTTTAAATTCACGCTGACTATCAAATTATGTACAGGCACCCCACTTTGGCGTAATGGGCCTCCAGAAAAGCCAGTTCTTTGTAATGCATGTGGATCACGATGGAGAACAAAAGGAACATTGGCAAACTATACTCCTTTACATGCAAGGGCGGAATCTGGCGATCTTGATGACCATAGTGGTTCTAGGGTAAAAAACATGCCTACTAAAACCAGTGAAGCCAAATTTCTCAAAAGGAAACACGTCTATGACTACAATGAGGCTGAAGTTACTCCAGATTATTGTCAATTTTTACCAAAGTGTTTAAATGAAGACACAAGCAATGGATCAAGTTCTGGCTCTGCTATCTCAAACTCTGAGAGCTGTGCTCAATTTGCTACTACTCAATTAAGTGATTTGCCAGGTCTGGTATTTTAAAATATTATTTGTTTCATATATTGATATAGGGGGCGGATCAGGTACAAACTGTGCTTATTGTGCAAACGTTTCTACGATGCATCTTTAAACTCTTTAGGAGTATTTGTGTTTGATCCTAAATCTATACACTCACACACATACATATCAATGCATCATTTTCTTTAATCTCATAGATTAATGAACCTCCACCTCCGCGTGTAATTTCCCCTAACAAATATTTTGACCTTTTTGGTGGTTAGTTAGTTCACTATTTGTATTCAGAATTAAAATTTCGTTGAACTTTTAGGATTTAACTCTAGTTCATAATAAGGTATCAGAACTAAGTTAAACTTCAAAACCAATAAGCTTTAAGAAAGTGTTTGTGCTCCAATGATAGACCATCTTGTGAGGCATGCTATACCATTCTATATAAACCAAATACAAGATATAAACTCAGATGTATTGGACTCATTCCAATGAACTAACCTTATAGAATGGACTCCAAGTGCTAACAAGTCAGAAGTTTTGTTTATGATTTACATTGTTTTAAACTGTCCATCAATGGATCTATTAGCTGCTAGTTTTGTTTGCAGGTCCAACTCAGCCTAATATATATGATGCAATGATGCCTTCAAAGAGGAAAACATGTGTTGGTCGTCCAAAGCCATCGCCTGTTGAGCAGCTCACGGAAGATCTGTGCACTATATTGCATGAACAACAATGTTCATATACTTCTGGATCTTCTGAAGAGGATTTGCTTTATGAGAGTGACAAGCCTATGGTGTCCGTTGAGATAGGACATGGAAGTGTGCTCATTCGGCATCCAAGTTCAATGGGTAGAGAAGAAAATCTAGAAGCCAGGTCGCTTTTGACTGATAATAAGCAAAACCCTTTAAATGAGGCTCCTTCCTCAGGGACTAACCCTCTCGCACATACACATGAGAAGGGTCAAGAGATGGGGAAAAGGTACATGATAGGGAGAGTATATTTCCATAAATGAATACTTCCTTTTAGTATTCTTGACATCTTTTATATTTCTTTAAATGGGTATCTAGAAAATTAATTAAGTTTTGTTTCAGGGATAAAGATGGACTTGTAAAACTGCAAATGTTGGGGCATAAAATCTCTTCCTTAGGTCACATAAGCTTGAAGGTAAGTTGCAGTGTATGTTATTTCCATGCTTGAGCAGTAAACATGGTAGCATAGACTCCAACAACCCCATCTCATGCATCTATCGTTCTTGAGTAAAACTCTCCAAAGCCCATTTTCTTTTCTGTTTTGATTTGTTAATATCTCACATGGCAAACTCTATGGTACCTTTAAGGTACCATACCTTGTCCACATGGACGAATTAGAATATTGCAATTGAATAATATAAACATAAATAAATGATAAAATAATAACTTGGACCAATCAAATGGATGCTAGGTACCATACCCTCATTTTTTAAATGGGAACCATAGCACTCACCCACATGGAAAAATTTAAAGAGAGAATGAATTAATAAAATCTTGGGTTGCACTAACTAGGATATTAAATTTGATCTTTTAGTGTGGCTTTTCGAAGTAGCTTAGTGACGCCAACCCAATTGCGGTTTCTATCAAGGTATTAGAATGATGAGTTAATAAGACTTTAAGCTGAAACTGAACCAGTTAATAAATTGAATTTGAACTTAGATTATGCTCTAATAAAATTCATCATTACGTTAGGCTCACTTAATTGGGCCATAAAGCACTCACACCAAACTACACTTAAAGACTGGTCGAATTTGTTCGCTAATCCAATCCAATATCTAATTAAACCAATCATTTTTCCTCTTTCTTTTCGATATGGTATTCTGACATGCTTGATGAGAAACACATACTTTATTTCTCCTTGTATGTTGTACGCGTGAAATAAGGTGTAGTTTATACAAAAATATACTTCCCGGTCCAAAAGAAGACAGTCTTTTTTGCCAAGGTAGATCTACTATATTAATCCTGCTTATATTTTTAAAATTTGTTGTTTACTTAGTTAAATTTAGCACATGTAACTTGCTCGTGACTCTTGTTTAGCATAAAAAAAGATTCGCATGAGTTTGAAACTTGACTCATATTTGGTGGGAGGATGTAGTTGATTACAATACATTTCATTACGTCTTGAGTCTTCACCAAATACCATGCATTCTATATAAAACTAATTTTACTGTCTTTTAGGATGTGAAGATTAAAAACAATCACAGCGGTTTTGAAGTTGCAGGAGTGCCTGATGATGTTAGCATTGGTAACTCTGTAAATGTTAAAAGATCATTAGACGGAGTGCATCAGAGTTATTTTTCAGGTCTGCAATATTTCCTTATCTCTAACATTTGCACAATCTGTTCCAATGGTAATGAAGGATGGATTGTTTAAGATAGATCTTTTACAGTGAACCTTCAAATATTAATATTATAACAATTTTTTCTTAAGCTGCCACGAGCAATCAGTGTAACCAAGACTAAAAAAAGACACATATTTCAAACATTTAAAGCGACATTGGTCAATTACAAAGACGCAATTCAGGATCAAACTCTCACTCTTGATATTTGTGCTATCTTTTTTAAAATTCTTTTTGAGATTCACATTTCTTTTGGAAATTATAGTCAAAGCACTTTGTATTTGACTATAATTGTATTGCCAAATGATATACTGCTTTTTGATAGAATTGGTTTCGGAAGAAGTATAATGTTAAGCCACTCCAGATCGGCTAAGTTTAAAAACTCAAACTCAAATATAAGATTTCAAGCTACTCCTATTAAATGGACTTTTAAGTTTTAAGGATGAAACTTCAAATCTTAATACAGTACTCCCTTCGTCCCATAAAGTTCTTCCCATTTACCCTTTTGGGATGTCCCAAAAAATTCTTCCCACTCACCCTTTTGGGATGTCCCAAAAAATTCTTCCCATTTTCCTTTTTGAAATGTTTTGTGTGGCTAACATTCATTTACCTTTTTCTTACTCAACCACAACCATACATTTTCACTTTATTCCCACTTTCTTAAACTCCGATCTAAGTAAAACCGGGAAGAATTTTGTGAGACGGAGGGAGTATGAGATTCAATTAAGTTTCACTATATTGCGAGAGCATACCGACCAAGTATAAAAGGATCCACATATAACGCCTTAGACGACAACTCCAATTAGATTGAGCCTTTAAGAATGGCATCCAAAGTGTTACTCCCTTCGTCCCGCTAAGATTGTCCCATTTTACCTCGGTCTGTCCCACTATTATTGTCCCATACCAAATTTGGTAAAATTTGTGTGGCTCTAAATCAATCTTACTTTATTCTTACTTTATCTATTCAATATCAACCATATAAACCATTTTTTATTGGTTTGCGTGTTAGTCTCTCTTGTCCCATTGTTAGCGGGATGGAGGGAGTAATATATAACACCAAATATTTCTTAACTAAAGCACATCCAAACATGCCGTGCCAAAAGTATTCACACATAAAGTAAACCGTAAACCATCTCCCATTTTAAACTTTATATGATGTTTCTACTCTAACCATGCTATCAATGAAATAGATTGGCTTGCATATAAATTTCTGGTCTGTTTTGCTTCAGTGCCAGAGACTGTAACGAAGAGCCCTGAAAGGCTGGTGAATATGGGAAACTATGAAAACAAGGATGGGGACAACTCTTGCTTCATTACTCCAAAATGCCTATTCGAATTGCCCAGTCCCTCTAATTCTTTCTATGTCCCTGACTGTTCAGATCAGGACTTGCTCCTGGATGTGCCTTCCAATTGCTTCTTTCCCCAAGCCGAACTACTTCTGCCGTCTTGATTTCTTGATTACACAATCAAATACCACTTATAGTATACGTTTTTGTTCATCCCTACCAAACACCATTCAAATACAGTTGTCATCTATAACATGCTACATAAAGTTATATAACAAGCATAAATTATACCCTGCTGTTTTGCATAACATATCGTTATCTCCTAAGTTGGACTGTGGATGGGTCCCACTAGGCAGCATAATTTTTGAATTACTGGGAATGGATTGTGTGTATTTTGTATATCATGATAGAGTGTACAATATACATATATAAAAAGCAATTCGAGGAAAGTTGCTAATATCTTGGGTATTTTTGTATGTAGTTGTACTTGCTAAAAGTGTAGCTAACCTTGTTTCCTATCTAGTTGCTTGGTCTCTACCCATGTATCACCCATATCCTTGTCGCTGTCCGATAATGTGATAAGTTCATTATCACATTGAATCCATCGAGTGTCATAGAATCGACTGCTTGCTTACGAGTTAATTATGTTGAGAATTTGTTAGGGACTTAGGGTGAACCGGTGAAGTTTGTAGTCGAGAATTGTCCAACTCCTATGACTGTATTGTGTCTATCATTCTTTGTTTTCATTGGTTTGTCATAACCGTTTGTATTTTTCACAGTCAACGTCATTTTTCATAAGAGATCCACATTTCACACCAAGGTTATGGATTAATTTGGCTTTACATTCGAAAAGATAACCTATAATCGAAAACATAACCTTATAGGAAATTAGGAATAGTCCGAGATCTTATATAACAGTTTGTTAGTTCATATTTAAAGATGGATTCAACTATTTAAAGCTGGGATAGAATTTCCATACATTAATTGTCAACTACTATTGCTCCTAAAATTCTATAGAAGAAACAACCTCCAACAACCTTGACTCACACAGTCACACCAAGTCACCAATGCGGCAATGCCTTCCACAACCTTACCTATCTGTAGGGGGCTATAAGTATGTGGGAGATTTTTTAAATCAAATATAATATATTAATTTTGATGTGAGATAAAATTCATCTTATATGTCTATTTGTACAATTAGAAAGTAATATATCTCGATATATGCAAATATAATTAAAAATATTAATCACACTTGATTTCCTTATAATTGTGTGATGCAAAACCAAACACAAAAGTATTATTTCATAGCATAAGTTTTCCTTTCTTAAGCGTTATCGAAACATGTCGTAAAAGAATGCTTTTAAATTTTCCTACAAAGTCTTAAAGAATTCAAATCAACCAACATGCATTTCTAATAGTGTATTGATGTCACTAAGTCGTTTGTGTCTCAAAATAAATTCATCACTAAACACTAATACCGTAGTATAGCGTAGTAGTGTTCGTATTCACAAAGAAAGATGTTTTTGTGTGTAAGTGTAAGAAATCAAATTAAATGAAAGCGAGAGTATGGATGTTAAGATAATTGAGAAATGAAATGAAACACTAAGATGCATGAATTAAAATATCATCGGTAATCAGTCTTGGTTGTGCTCGTTTATCATGATTACTACTTTGATTCTCCCCTCTTGAATACTTAATTGTGGAGATTAAATCGTCCAATTCATCAAGGTAATTATTAATAACGAGACACATTCATTATTAATCCTTACTACTCCCTCCGTCCCAAACACAACTTCACACTTCGTTTCCACACATATTAAGGAAATAAACTTACTGGGGGGTAATTTTTACTGTTTGGACACTGTTTAGCACTATTTGACACTGTTTTGATGTAGATAATTTGCCAAATAAGGAAGTGAGAAGAAGTGTGAAGTTAATTTTGGGACATCCATTTATGGAAAGTGAGAAGTTGTTTTGGGGAAGGAGGGAGTATTAGTCAATATAGAACAAACGTCACATATTGAAACCAAGTTCAATTATTCTATCTAATTCATCCATTGTTTATCCAATGAAACTAATTAAGATTGATAACCTCAACACAAGCAGTTTTTCGGTTCAACCAATGTAATTATTCCCTCTTAAATTATTGACTATGAGATGGATGCATTAATAATTTAAGGTTACTACTTATGAAAGGATCAAGTGAATAACGAGCGAATTCATTGACTAATTCTAGTAATAACTAATATGGAAACATCAATTAATTTATCACTAAGCGATGCTCAAATATCAATATGTGAATAAAGAAGTAATTAATATTCGGGAGGGGGGCGGGGATTAAAAGAAATAATACACAACTTGGAAATCACAAATTTCAATATAGCAAAACCAAACTCAAAAGACTACATAAATTACAAGAATAAAGTCTATATAAAAGAGGGGTTGTATTGATGTGTCAAATGGGAAGGAAATGGAGGGGTTTAAAGGAGAAATGAGGTGGTTGGGTCAGATACCCGACCGAATATCCTTGACAGTAACCCGAAAAGTGCTGAAATCTAATCAAACCGACCGGGTTTTCCACCAAATCAGATTGTCCAACGATGTCTTATTTTTTTTATCTCGTAGGATCTCCGGGTCAAATCATACCTGATCGGGTATTGGATATATCCGACTGGGTGTGATACTAGATTGAATTTTTCATCTTTCTTTGTCTTCCATGAAGCTTCCTCTAGTCTTCAAGCTCCTTCCTTATGCTTACATGCTCATTCCTCTTGCTTTTCCATCATGTTGCTTGCTTACTTGTCAAGATACCCTAATAACTTCTAATTCTAGTCTTATTCGGAAGATAAAAATTATATTGTAATTGTACAAAAGTTGAGTAAACACGATGCAAAACCATTTTAAAATGTAGTGTTTATGCACTACTAAATTGCACATACCATGTATGAATTGCTTATATAGTTTAAGATACATTGATATTAGCCCCCCTATGCTAAGATCTTGGCTTCGCCTCTATGATCATTATATAGGAACTATATAATCCTCTCAATCACTATCTTTACAACACGATGTGAATTTAGATGTCTTATTCCTTGACTAATCCTTTAAATCTCCTTATTGACACATACACATAGTATTACCCCTTACAGGTGGGGAATTCGGTTAATTTACGGTCCAGTTTTTCTCGGTTTAATACGGTTTCAACTTATTCAGATTGAGCGATTTTGTATCAAACTAAAACCACTCTTGTTTTAGTTTGTTTTCAGTTCGATTTGGTTCAATTTCAAGTTCGGATTACAAAATGGAAATAATGTGGTTTAATTTAGTTCTATTTGATTTGTTTCATATGATTATTGGTTTACTTGATTTATAGATCGAAGTTCTTTTTTTAGAAATAGAATATGAATATGGCAGTCAATTCACCTTATATTCATTATTTAAATAAAATGTGAATGAAAATAAAAGACAGAAAAAGAAGTAATAAGGTATTATAAATTAACATCTAATTTGTCTTCCTAGTACGAATGATATGAAAATGTTTGTATCCAACTTGGTAGAGTGTGATATGTGTAAAAGTTAGAATATTATGTTTTAAACAAGTATTTTCATTTCTAACCTATTGTTTATATCTTAAACATGAAGAATGAATACAAGTACAAAGTATTTTATTATATACTAAACGATGTTCGGTTTAATTTACGGGGTTTCGGTTTAAAACCAAACAAAATCATTCGATTTGAGCATATTATTACCATATGACTTACTTCAGGGAACCTAAACCAAACCGAAGTACTAATTTTCGATTTGATTCAGTACATAATACACATAGATGGTCTAAGTACCAGACTAAACCTTTCTAGTTTGTCTAGAGAACTCCCTTAACAATTTTCCCCTGCAGAAGCTTCACTTTATGTTCTACCTAGGATGCCATATATATTTAAAAGTCAAAGTACTTGATAATTGCTCTCTGACTTCATTATAAGCAGATTTGAATGAAAATGGACCACTTGTTTCTCCATTCAAATTCATAATAATATTTTTAAACAATACATACAATGTTTGAAACTAAAATATTAACTGAATATGAAGTTCTTTGACCTTAGTAAACTGATCAATGACAAACTCAACGTCGATTTTGTTGGCAAATTCCTTTTCAATAAAATGGTCAAACGATCCGCAAGAAATTCATCATTCATCTTGTTACAAATTTCATTCTTCACGTGTTTCATTGCAAAAAATGATCTTTTTGTTGTTGTAGTAGAAACACGTAAAGTCAATACAAGATGAATTAATCTTGTAACCTTTTTGAGGTGTTCTGCCTTTCCAGATTTGACCAACTCTTCACTCAACTTCGTAAGAGAATCAATTTGAAACTGATAATTTTGAACTATGTGAGGTTCATAAAATTGCAATTCACTCTTCAAAGCATGCCTCTCGTGAGCCTGAAAATCATTCGCATAGTTAAAAATCCAAAGCAAGCTTATAGATATTATCGGAATTATATGATTCAAATGTTTTTTTTGGATTCAAACCAACACTAAGTCGATGCAATTGAACTGATGATTCGTTGAATCTACACTCAAGTTTATTAGTTTCATAAAACTAAATAATATTTAAAAGTTTTAAGATAAAAAAAATTAATAAAGTTTCAGACAACTTAGGTCCTAAATTGATAACTTCCAATCATTCAAGTCCTACATTGATAGTTTCCATCATTCGGATCCTATAGCGATACATTTCATCTTTCAGGTCCCGGATTGATAATTCATCTATCTTTCGAGTCCTGAATTGATAAAATTCCGTTACAGTTTTTAAGCGAACATCAGGTATATATATAAAAAAAGTGTTACATTAGAGTCACACTAAATGTAACAGTGTGTAACAGGAGTTACAATAGATGAACCAAATGTAACAATATATAACAGTAATTACGTAAATGAACCAAATGATACATAACCATTACAATATATGAACTTAAAGTAACATTTTTACTAACTGTTACAAAAATAACGTTACATTAGACCCGAAAATGTAGTAGTGGATCTTTCAATTGAAAATCAATATTTTGGGTGAAAAATTCAAAACGATAATAATGCTCCATATCTACCTCTTTTCGACCACGTCTAAGCTTGTTTTTCTTGTCACACACATTAATTTCACACTGCAAGAAAAAATGTTTAACTTTCTCAAACAATCTCTCACACCTGTCATTTTGTAACTTTCAAAGCAAATCTTTAGCGATTTCAACAAAACCGATTGCAGATAGGATGTCAACATTATCTCTTTGTAATGCTTGACAAAAAAATATCTGTAATACGCATAACTGCTTCCATTAAATGCAAACCAAACACAAAATCAAAGCTCTTAACACTAGTGCAAGCACCATCAGCTTCGGTTCGAGCTTTGGGATCTGTACCATCACATGCAATACTCATAACAACTTTACACGTTGCATTATACATTTCTATCATACTCAAGATAGAATCATAATGAGAGCCCTAATGAGTAGTACCTGATCTTTGTAAGGATGACATTTGATTTCTTCCTCAGCCTGAATCCTGCTCACCACGAGCTAACATACCAATGACTTCCAATTTATGTGCCTCTTGTAATTCTGTGTTTCACTTTGGTGAAGATTTCACAATGTTGATAACTGTATTTAACATTGAAAAAAATTTCCAAAATGGGTCACATTGTTTATCTGAGGAAACCAGAGTCAATTGTAACCTATGAGCAAAACAATGCACATAATACGTGTATGGACAATCATTCAAAAATAATGGTTGCAATCCATTCCATTGTCCACACATATTACTTGCATCATCATATCCCTGATATCGTAACTTGTGAACATGAAGATTATACACATAAAGAACCCCACGTATTTCATCCTTAAGTGTTTCAGATGAAGTTTTAGGAACACCTTTAATAGTAAAAAACGTTCTGTCACAATACTATCAATGTTCACAAATCTAAGAATAATAGTCATTTGTTCTCTATCAGATTCATCTCTACATTCATCTACGCGTATAGAAAAATAAATGTCTTCGATTTCCTCACGAATCATACACCAAACACGATTAGCTAGAAGAACTAAAAGTTCCTTTAAATACCAGGGGAGGTATACTTGGCATTCCGTGGAGCATTACTCAAGACAATAACATTCACTTCAGTATTCCATTATCCAGTTTATTTAATTAATCAATTCAGTAAAATTTCCACGAGTTAGAGATGTTTCAAACTCATCATGATCGTACCCCTATATGCACAACCTTGTAAAGCAAACAACAAAATACTTTTAATGGTTGTCTTTACACGCAAACGATTTTTCACCACTTTTTTTACCGATCCTAGCAATGACTTTGTCAATATGTTGACTTGGTTTCATTAAGGAGTCCGCACAAGTCACACTCTTATTATGAGGTGATGAAGATGATGAACCAAGATGCATACGAAATACACATTCTTTACCTTGATGAAATCGTTTCCAACTATCAAAACCAGAAGCCACTAAATCCGAAACACAAGTGGAATGCACAACATCACTGAAAAGAAAGCATGGAAAACAATATGCCTTATGTGTGGTTGGAGAGTATTCCAATCAATTAAATTCATTGAACCAAGTGGGTTGAAAATAACGTATCTTGTCTTTATATTCTCGGTCTTTGTAAAAGTTCATTTTTGATTTATCTCTTTTCTAATTTCATCTAATTTATCTAATTTCATCTAATAAGATCATCTAATTTCATTTCTCTAACGTCCAATAACTTATCTTTTTTCGATTTCCCAGATCCCGGTCAATTACAAGTGCATCAGAAATTACTTCCTCTTAAGCGGATGAGATATTTGGAGTTTCAATTGAGACATTGAACTCTTGTCTATTTTGTGTGCTTGTAAAACGAACACCCGCAACGTCGTTTTTACCTTTTGGAAGTAGATTGAGTAGCCATACATACTAAAATTAGCAAAAAAAAAATACAAAACTAATCAATATTTTATTTTAATTCACATAAATCATATTAATTTCCTAAATCAAAATTCTTTATTGCAAGTAATAGTTGTACTGTTTGTTTTATTCGGCCGATTTATACTATCCTCGAATGCCACTTATGAAATATTGAAATATAATTTTTCAGATTATCTGCTTTATTAGTTTCTTTGATATGTTATACTCCTATTTGGATGATTTTTTTTTTTAATTTTACTCATAGATATTTTATAACAAAAATATTATTATAAATATGCACATGTTGTCCCTAAGGCCCACTCTTTTTGCACTGTCCCAAACTCATAAAATGTTAGAACCGATTCTGAATTAAATACATAGACCTATGGAGATGGGGGAATATATATATATATATATATATATATATATATATATATATATATATATATATATATATATATATATATATATATATATATATATATGATAGTCTTGAGGGTAGATCGAGAGTGTCCTATGAAGTACATAGTATGTGATGTTCGTTTGAAGAAGTTGAGAATGCGTCTTAGGTCAATCACGGTTTTAGAGAATTTCATACTTCTCTAGAAAACTCTAACATATTTTAAAATCTTCTACACTCTTTCACACATTTCTAGATATATAACTTCACGCTTATCTAGAAAGCTTTAGAATATTTTAGAACGTTCAATACTTCTCCACACGCATTTAAAGAATTCTAAACATCTCCACAATATTCAAGAATTCTCATGAACTTTTCAACTAATTAAAGAGCTGAGGGAACCCAAACACATTACACATTTGAACCATTATTTCTTCTTTCCTTCTTGAAAAAGATTCTCTGTTGGTTATATAGATAGTGATTTTAGTCCCCAATGAGTATAAATCTATCAGTATCATTGACTTGTGGGACTTGTGTCTTGTGGAGCTAAAAATGGTGCAAAAACACTTAGTGATTTGATTAAAAAGATATCAAAAATCAAATACTTGACTTTTTTGAAAACAAATTACTAGTGAAGATGACAAGAAACATTACAATCATAAAGCTCAAAGCTACAATGTGATGAGACATAAAAACGGACGATTTTAATCGAAAACGCTGAATCACTAATCCCGCAAAGAAGTAGACTCTACCTGCAGATTGACTGCTCCAGCTACGATCACAATAACTATCAAAAGAACTCTTAAGCATCCCGGTTTCTCCAACCACTGGTAAGGAGCCACTGTAGAAATTGTTCCGGTTTCACCAGCCACCGAAAAGAAAGCAACCCAAATGATCTCATCTTCCTGGAACGGTGGTGGTTCAGGAGGGGAGTGATCCGTCTCAATATTGTCGCAAAAGAAAATCATATTTTTGATTGATGAAGATATCAGTGCAAATGTCTTCTTAGCACACAAGAATGCCCGATCGAATTGAAAGTGGCGGGGAATATGGATCTGACAGACGATATTTTGCTACCGAAAATAATACCTCCAAACAACGTTGGGAAAGAAACACATGAATAAAACTGAAAACACTGATTAAGAAGATGTGTTTCTATTATTGAAATCAAAGAAGATTGAAAGAAGAGAAGAAAAGAAGAGAAAAAGAGGAGGCGGCGGCTAGGGTTTCCCATGCCATTGTCGCTCCTCAGAAGAGCTTCCCTTATTTGGACTGGAAAAGTACGAGTTATTAATAATAGAGATATACTTATATAATACTTGACTTAAATATCCAAAAAACTTAAGATTCACTTTAGCTTTTATTAGGAAAAATGAAGTTCTATTATGAAAAATAACACAAAACCTAAGTAAGCAAAGAGCCATAGAGGTAACATGTTTTTAACTGGACTGAGATTTTCTGGTAGGGTCGGGTCTGGTCGGTTTAAATTTGATTTGGTCTGATATGAATTGGTATGTTATGGTAAATGTCTGTCCTTCGTGTATTTTATAATTGTCAAAGTTTGGTTTGATTTGGTTTGAATTGGTATGTTTAAGTATGTTCTTGTCTCATATGTGGATCTAGGGGCCAACCTAAGCCCGACCCACCTCAAATTTTAAAATTGCCTAAAATTTTAAAGTGAAAATATCTGTGTAACCCTAACCCCCATTATTCTTTCTATTGGTTTATTGTCATGGCTCCGCCCTTATCTGGTGAAATATATATCCAAGTAAAAACATCCCCATGCAACCATTACATCCATTCGAAATAACTCGTGTAGGTAGTTTACATAAATCATAACATGATATCTTTGTATTCAAAGCAATATACGTACTCAAGTGGATATTAGCTAAGTTATTATAGAGCAAATATATTATACTGAGTACGTAAAATATTACGGAGTACTAATAAAAATCCATAGAAAAATGTGACCTTAAGTTACCATGTGTAAGTTTAATACTCCCTCCATCCCGAAATATGTGCAAGTTTGCCCATTTTTCTAAAAGTAGATGTCTTTAAGTTAATGAGAAAAAAGTAAAAGTAAGAGTAAATTTGTCACTTTCGTAAACGATGAAAGCCGCTGAACTTCTGACTCGAGTTGAGAAAGAGGGCTAGGCACCCCGGGAGGGCTTTAAGGGATTGGGGAAGACGGGTTCCATACCTAAAATAGAAAGTGGAAATCCATTTTGGAACAACCAAAAAAGGAAATTTTCAAATCAAATTGAGACGGAAGGAGTAGTTACTGTCACGTAACATTTCAATACAATTATAGTCACTAAAGTTATTAGGATCACATTTTTATTCACTACATTTATTTTAGTTATATAGTTGGAATTATTTTTTGTTAAATTAGTTAGTAAACTCGAATGCTGGTCTCAATGGTAATCCCAGCTTTCCATTCCACCGGAATCACCGTCGTATCCGACTCGAACCATTTCGCATCTGTGCCTTTGCTCACCAGAAACCTCACCTTCAGTTCTCCGCTCGGTGGGTTCGATAAGTCCCATACTGCACCATACGCTCTCCTCATTGATACCCACTCATCCGTCTCTTCCTACATATAGGAGAAATTAAATAAAGCTTTGGGGCATATTAATTAATAGGGGGAATTTGAATTTGCATCCCATATTTCGGGTGATATTAAACTTTGCATTCCTTTCCAAATCATTAACGTATGCACTCCATCAACTCAAAAATTGGGAAAAAGTTTTGGGTCCATATATTAATCATTTTGAAATTAGGATGCAAAGTCAAATATAACTCAAAACATAAGGTGCAAAGTCAAATTCTCCCTAATTAATATCGCTAAAGGAAAAGAAAAAGTATGCTACACAACCAAATATCGCTAATGCAGTACTCTTAATTATTACATCAAAAGCTCTTAACAAATTTCGTTTTATTATGTTTTTATTTGGACTGAAATTTTTCGGTCTAGCCAGAATTGATTTAGTTTGATTGGGAAGACGTCTAACATATGTGTATTTTATAATTAACTGCCGAAGTTTGTTCGGATCTAGTCTGATTTGTATAAGTCCGATGTGATCTGTTTAAATCTAGTATGATCTGATGTGCTAGTTTGAGACTGAAATTAGCACAAGTAAAAACATTACAAACAAGTAGTAATCTTTTGGAGGTGGTTTATTATGATGGTCTTCATATAGCTATATAATTGCTTGTCATCGTCTCATGCTGGACTTGAGGTTATCCAGTTGGCAGTGGCACTTTGATTAAGTATGCTATTAGATATTATATTTGTAGTAAATTTGACGAAGTACTCATATACAATCAAAGTTAAACATGAAGATATTGGTTTATACATGTATAATTCTACAATTCACTTTCATGAAAATATCAGCAGAAGATATAATATGATCTGAAAAATGGCACTGGCAAAAATGTAAAGAAGTAACTAATATTACATTTTTTGAAAGATTAGAGTGTATCAAATTTTAGAACTTTTTGTATAAAAACATTACGGAAGTTTACCAATATATGACCAAAACATGGGGAGATTCCTAATACTTCATACTTCCTCCGTTCCGAAATAAATGTCCTGTTTTCCTTTTCGGCCCGTCCCAAAATAATTGTCTTGTTTCCTCTTTTGGCAATAATGGGTGGCCCATATCAATTCACTCTTTTCTACTCAAATCTCAATCACAACTTTTACCTTTTCAACCACTTTCTTAAAACTTGTGCAAAATCAGACAAGACAGTTCATTCGGGACGGAGGGAGTATATAACTAGTAATGTGAAAGTGATAAAACATATGAGTTTCTATGAGACAACAAAAGGAGCAATACCACCTATTACTACTTGACTACTTCTCAAGTATTAATGGATTATTGGAACTGACCTCAGAGACCTCAACAGCAAATATGTCACTAGCACCTCCTTGATTGGTAGGGACAAGAGACAAGTAGTGAGGGTATTGGCTATTCTCGTGGACCTTCACTGTGAGATTATTGCCTTCTGTTGTGCAAGGAACTCGACGATATTCAACGTCCAAAACACCTTTCTCTGTTAAAATGTCGGCCATCCTTGGCTGTTTGGCTAGCCTCTCATAGGTGCGGTAGTTGAGGATGAAGTCCATATCATTGCGCCCTTCTGTATAATCAGTTGCCATTACATTCTCTCCATCTCGACTACATAGTCCATTGTTTTTACACCTTACCTAAAAAAAATTGTTGAAAACAATCTCGCTTTATATACTTCATCATATACTACGTATTAGATCAAAGGGAAAATAATCTCGCTTTATTATTTTTTTGTTTGTTTTTTGTTTTGAATATCAATCCTTAAATGCATAAATAGGAACACAATGTTTATCTTCTCAAAATAGGACTAATTTTCCCATTTTCTCGATTTAAGGGTGTCAAAATGGTTACATGACACCTGATGAGTGGGGAACTCAGTGCCTATACCGTGCAACCGTCCCACCATGAGCATCATGCTCCCATTCCCAAAACGATGTAGTTTTGGTCAATTTAAAAAAAAACTCGCATGAACGGTACACGCGTGTACAGTGACTTTTTTTGTCCTAGTAACATGGATGATGTAACTCGCGTGTAAAAACATGTAACTCGTGTTATTGATCAATGTAACTCAAACTCATCCAAAATGTAACTCGTCAAATATTGATTTCAATGTAAATAATGAAAATAGAGAGTCTAATTGCACTATTGCTTTAGGTAAAACGTGAATATGTTTTGTTTTTAATATGATAGCCATAAAATTTATTTTTTTTGGAAAAAATCATTTTTTTTGTTTCAATAGCAAGGGTTGGATTTTTAATGTAACTCGTGTTATTACAAATGTAACTCGCGTTGATGGCAAATGTAACTTGGGCGTATACAGAATGTAACTTGTTGAAAAATTGAACAATGATTTTTTTGTCTGCTTGAGATATTATAAACATTGATTTCAATGTAAATAATGAAAAATTGATCCTAATAGCTTAATTATTTTTTTATAAATAGTGAATATGTTGAATTTTTAATATTAGAGCAATAAAAATGATATAGCTGGAGTTTAGTTCGTTGTGTAACTCGCATGCATTAAGATGTAACTCACATATATTAAGATGTAACTCGCGTACACTAAGATGGAACACTTCAAAATCCCTATTTTTTCACCATCCCAATTTCATCTTCATCAATGGTCTCTTCATCAACACGTTTCTGCATCCTTGGCTACTCCATCAACAAAATCTCAAACATCCATGTACCTGACTTGATTCCCATCTCTATCCCTTTACCCCATCCTTGTGGGCTTGTGGGCTTGTGGCGTTGTCTAGGAGGATTGTTGTGGTGGCGATTCCTGCTGTTGCGGTGGTGACGATCAAGGGAGCGCGAATTAGAAGTAGAAGAATGATGGAAACGATGACGGTGAATGATGGAAAAGAAGGGATGGAACCGTAGAACCTTCGTTGTTTATGGCCGCTGCTCTGTACATTTACTTTGCATCTAATTTTTTAAAATAAGCAAAACAGTACCGTATTTGGACCGGCATACCTTACTCATGGTATGCCGGTCATACGGTATAATTTGCTTGGGGAACTAGATAGCCATATTCACTCGAGGGAGAAGAGATCAACGATATGTTACGGCTACGATGCAAAGGAATGCTTACATGGGAGTACGTCATAAAATAATAAAATCTCAATTTTCTTCAAATTGCTATAATTTTTTATTTGAACTCCAATTTTTTATAAAGATTATATCAAAATTCATAAATTTTTCATGATCTTTAATATAACATCAATATTGAATATAAAAATTTAAAAAATATATGAATATACAACTGCTCATGGTTTTCAGACTCAATTTTTATTTCTTAAATAGATTGAAGTGCTAAAATTAAGATCTCATCCCTAAAATATTCTTTTTACATCTTCCAGTTATTTTTTCAAAAATAATTCTGAAATGACAACAACAAAATTAAATTCAATTTTTTTTTACATCGGAACGTTTGACTTTTTTAGATCATAACTATTCCGATTTTTTTTGGGAAAAATTGATATATTAATAATAAAAGTAAGGTTTTAATTAAAAAAACTTTATTGGGTGAATATATTGACAGTGCTTTATTGCAATAAAAACCGAATTCATTGAATGTCTAGATATAAACAAGTGAGAAATTTAATTTGATGATGGAAGTGGATTGTGGTTAACCTTGTTAGAACCGGAGGATAAAATTAGTAAAATATAAGGGTGTAGAAATATGGCTGGACCGGATATCACTTCTAGTCACGTAAAATACGCTTTCCTAAAAGTTTACTATCTACCCTTATCACAGTAACCGGGTTACAAGATAGAACTTTTGGGATAAAAAGAAGATGTATGGTGTATTTTAGTTACCGATAAAATAACACCGAACAAGTGATTGTATATTAAGTAGTCTAAGTACTTTAATTCTATCGCTGCAGACAATAAAATAAAGTAAAGGCAAGTACACAATTTGATCGATCTATGCTCCCTTAACAATTCAACATGATCCATATTTATAATTTAAATGGTGTCTTTTCTAAAAGATGTAATTATCGTTTCATTAAAATTGAAACATTACGAAAGTGCACAGCCGGCTGGTCATAAAGAAAAAGACACGATCCTTCATTTGTAATAAACATATACATATGTAAATTTGCACATGTGCATATATTAAGTACGTAACATTTATTATTATAAATAAAATTAGGACCACTATTACTTATAAGTAATAATAATAATAATAATAATAATAATAATAAATGTTCCCATGTAAATCTATAATAATAATATTTCAAAAATTCTCATTATTTAATTAAAAATATTACTTAAGGATCACACATGTTGAACACTTGAGCTATATTTCTCAATAAATTCCAACAATCCTCCTCCATTTATTGAGAAATAAACATGCTCAATCCTTGCCAAATAGATCACTTATCAAGACTTATGCATAAATGAAAGTGTCGTAAAGATTGAACTTTCATGTAGTGCAATATTCTTTACAATATTTCGGATCATAATAGTAGACTAAGCTTTGAACTATATAACCTCTTTGAAATACTGAAGATATTACACACATAAATCTCTATACAATTTCACTTAGAAACTTGACACCATTAACGGCCTTGTGTCCATATCCATTCATGAGCTCCAACAAGTAAAGCCTTAAACTTGGCGAATCGGCCGCAATTCTAGCTCACATAGGTAGGTCTTTTCAAACTGTGTTCTGCAATTAAACACTTTATCAAAAGATCTATTAAGACATAGTCAACCTCATTACACATTGCAGACTCAAGCACTTACCTCGGGATGGTTATTATTCAAAAGTGTTCCAACCACAGAGTGACTTACTCATCGTCATTGAACTCAAGATCTAGCGTTGTACTAGACGTTGAGTTGGGCTTTCTTTCACTTGTGATTATTTTCCAAGGGCTTTAACCCCATCCCTTTTGTTGTTTTGTACACCATGTCCCTTGGCATCGCTTTTGTAAAAGGATCAGCCAAATTCATATGTGTTCGTACAAAATCAATCACAACAACTCCAGAACTAATAAGTTCCCGCACATAGCTGTGTCTCACTCCTATGTGCCTTGACTTACCATTGTACACATGGTTATAAGCTTTCGATAGAGTTGATGCACTATCACAATGGATTGATATCGGAGCCATAGGTTTAGGCCATATTGGGACTTCTGACACTAAATCCTTTAACCATTCTGCTTCTTTACAAGCTGATGCTAAAGCTATAAACTCCGAAGCCATGGTAGAGTCCGTGATACAAGTTTGTTTCTTAGATGCCCATGATATAGCACCTCCTCCAAGAAGAAATAACCATCCACTTGTGGATGAATAATCCTCTTGATTAGTTATCCAACTCGCATCCGTATAACCTTCTAATATAGAGGGTTCACTCTCGTAACATAAGCCGAAGCTCATTGTTTTCTTTAGATATTTCAGCACTCGCCTCAAGGCTTGCCAATGAAATATACTAGGATTACTAGTATATCTACTTAGCTTTCCTACCGCAAATGCAATATCTGGTCGGGTGCTAGTCATTGCGTACATCAAACACCCAATCACCCTAGCATATTCAAGCTGTGATACAGCGTTCCCACTATTTCGAACTAATTTCCAACTAGGATCCATGGGAGTGGAAACCGGTGAACAATCCAAACTCCCAAATCTTTTCAACACTTTCTCTATATAGTGAGATTGTGTTAAGGTGATAGTATCACCTTGCTTGATTATCCTAATTCCAAGGATAACTTCCGCTTCACCCATATCTTTCATGGAGAAATTTGAACAGAGGAAAGCCTTTGTGTCATTTACTTGCCTCAAATCAGTGCCAAATATGAGCATGTCATCCACATATAGACAAATAATGATACCATTACCATGCTCATTAAATTTGCTATATACGCACTTGTCTGATTGGTTTATTTTAAAACCATTTTTAAGCACCACCTCATCAAACCTTTGATGCCATTGTTTAGGTGCTTGTTTCAGACCATACAAGGACTTCACAAGTTTACAAACTTTCTTTTCTTGTCCTTTAACTACAAACCCTTCGGGTTGTTTCATATACACCTCCTCCTCCAATTCACCATTTAAGAATGCGGTTTTGACATCCATTTGGTGAATCACAAGATTGTGAATGGCTGACAAAGCAATTAACAATCTTATGGTAGTTATTCGGGCTACCGGTGCATATGTATCAAAGTAATCAATACCATGTTTTTGTTTAAAGCCTTGTGCAACCAATCTAGCTTTAAACTTGTCAATAGTACCGTCTACTTTCATTTTCTTCTTGAAAATCCATTTACAACCGATTGGTGTGCAACCGGGTGGTAAATCACTTAGAACCCAAGTATTATTGCCCATGATTGAATCCATTTCATCATTCACGGCCTCTTTCCAGAAGGAAGCATCTTGTGATTTCATTGCCTCTTCAAAAGAGTTAGGATCCTCCTCAACACTATAACAATATAGTGTTTGAGTTACAAGGGTCTCTCTTGATCCTTCGACCAAATATAATTGGAAATCGGGACCAAATGACTTTTCTTTTCTAGCCCTCTTACTCCGTCTAATTTCAAGCTCATTTTCATGATCCTTTTCCAGTTCATGAAAATTTGAATTACTTGAACTGAGATCAACATCATTTGGCCTAGGAATAGAAGTGAACCGCTTCTCATCAAAAAGAGCATCCCTAGACTCAATAACGGTATGAACTGAAATTGAGTCATTCGGTTCAATAACATAGAATCGATATGATTTACTATGTTCAGCATATCCAATAAATATGCACTCTATCCCCTTTTCACCTAACGTTTTCCGTTTAGGTTCCGGTAATCTCACGATTGCCCTACAACCCCATACCCTAAGATAACTTAGTTGGGGTGTTCTTTTGTGCCAAAGTTCATATGGGGTTATTTTATTTCTCTTGTTAGGAACTCGATTAAGAATATAACAAGCAGTTAACATAGCATCACCCCAAAATCCATTACTTAAGCCCGAATTAGACAACATGGAATTAACCATTTCTTTTAAGGTTCTATTCTTTCTTTCAGCTATGCCGTTTTGTTGTGGCGTGTAAGGGGCTGTTGTTTCATGGATTATTCCAACGGATTCAAAAAATTTAGGCTCATAATATTCTCCTCCTTTGTCAGTTCTAAGCCTTTTTACTTTCTTTCCGGTTTGTAACTCAACTTCCATTTTAAAAACTCTGAATTTATCCATTGCCTCATCTTTTGAAAATAAAAGGTATATGTAACAATATCTTGTGCAATCATCAATAAATGTGACTACATATTTTTTATTTCCAAAAGAAGGAGTGCTATGGAAATCACACAAATCACTATGCACTAATTCAAGCATGTTGGATTCTCTTTCAACATTTTGAAAAGAATTTCTAGTGATCTTATTTAACATGCAAGTTCTACATTTTCCTATGTTAACATTAAAAGGAGGAATTAATCCTACTTTAGACATGTCACTAAGTCTACGATAATTAACATGACATAACCTATTGTGCCACAAAGTAGAATCACAAACCATATACACAGAATTAACAACTTTATTTACAATACTTAGTTTGAACATGCCATTACAATAGAAACCTTGGCCAACAAATACACCACCTTTAGATAAAATAAACTTATTTGCTTCAAAGCTAAGTTTAAACCCAAAGTTATTTAGGATGCCACCGGAGACAAGATTTTTCCGGATTTGTGGTACAAAGTACACATCATTAAGAATTAATTTCTTTCCGGAAGTTAATTCCAACTCTACTTGCCCAATTCCTTGAATTTGCACAGTAGAGTCATTTCCCATGTATAAGATCGGCCCCTCTTGCAACTCTTTTAAAGTCTTAAAAGCTTGCCTATCTTTACATACATGTCTTGTTGCTCCGGTGTCGATCCACCAAGATTCATCATCCTGCACAACACAAATTTCAGAAAGCATAGCTACAAAAATCATGTTGTTATCAACATCATTTGTAACTATAAAAAGATTCTGACCTTGGTTGTCTTGGCCACCGTTTGGATGGCCGTTCGGTTGAGCTTTCTTCTTCTTCACCTTCGGGCAGTCCCTCTTGAAGTGTGGACCACCACATTCCCAACAAGAGCCTACTTTCTTATCTTTCGGCCTCTTTTGAAACTTGGAACCTTTGGTGAATTTTCCGGGACGTTTTTTATTTTTCATAGTCGCACTTGATTGTCCCTCCTCCATAACATTTATAGAGGAAATTGGAAGGTTGTTCTTTTTACCATTGTCACCTTCACGCAACTTAATGCCTTCTTCAATTTGAAGTCGGCGACCAAGTTGCTCCATTGACAAATCCTCTTTTTTGCGTTTGAGACTATTTTTCACTTCCTTCCATGTAGGTGGTAATTTGTCGATAATAGAACCGACCGCAAAGGTTTCATTAACATGCATGTTATGAATCAAAAGTTGATCATATAAACGCTGAATCTCATGAAATTGCTCCATGACCGGACGTGAATCCACCATTTTGTAACTATTAAAGTTACTAATGAGAAATTTCTTACTTGAAGCATCCTCGGTCATATATTTAGATTCTAGAGATTCCCACAGCGTTTTAGCATACTCAACATTTTGATACACATCAAATAGAGAATCACACATACCGTTCAAAATGTGCCCACGACAAATGTAGTCGTCATTATCCCACTTTATGCGGCGGCGGCTTGTCTCCAAAGACTCGCTTTCTTCTTCCTCGGGTGGCCTCGGGGTGCTCAACACATAGACAACTTTCAAAGTAGTGAGCAAAAAATGCATCTTTTTCTGCCACCTTCGAAATTCTACACCTTCAAATTTTTCCAATTTTTGAAAATTGGTGTTGATATCTCGTTGCGTAGCGGCCATATTTACGGAGTAGTAAACTTTTAGATTGTTAGAACCGGAGGATAAAATTAGTAAAATATAAGGGTGTAGAAATATGGCTGGACCGGATATCACTTCTAGTCACGTAAAATACGCTTTCCTAAAAGTTTACTATCTACCCTTATCACAGTAACCGGGTTACAAGATAGAACTTTTGGGATAAAAAGAAGATGTATGGTGTATTTTAGTTACCGATAAAATAACACTGAACAAGTGATTGTATATTAAGTAGTCTAAGTACTTTAATTCTATCGCTGCAGACAATAAAATAAAGTAAAGGCAAGTACACAATTTGATCGATCTATGCTCCCTTAACAATTCAACATGATCCATATTTATAATTTAAATGGTGTCTTTTCTAAAAGATGTAATTATCGTTTCATTAAAATTGAAACATTACGAAAGTGCACAGCCGGCTGGTCATAAAGAAAAAGACACGATCCTTCATTTGTAATAAACATATACATATGTAAATTTGCACATGTGCATATATTAAGTACGTAACATTTATTATTATAAATAAAATTAGGACCACTATTACTTATAAGTAATAATAATAATAATAATAATAAATGTTCCCATGTAAATCTATAATAATAATATTTCAAAAATTCTCATTATTTAATTAAAAATATTACTTAAGGATCACACATGTTGAACACTTGAGCTATATTTCTCAATAAATTCCAACAAACCTTATATTGTCAATCTTAAGTGATTCAATAATAAGAAGGTGTTGAGCATGCCGTGGAGAATTACACATCCTCCAGGGTTGTTGAGCGGTTTTCGCTGAGTGGTTTGCAGAATTTTTCATTCCAAGGCTACCAGTATACTTGGGAGAAGGGTTGTTAATGAGTCGAGCCGAGCCCGAACACTCAAAGCTCAAGTTCAGCTCGATAAGGAATTAGTGGTGTTCGAACTCGAAGCTCGACGAGCTTTACAAATGAGGCTCGACAGGCGTTCTATGTTCGAACCGAGCGCTCGATAAGCTCGATAAATATGTCCAAGTTTAAAATTTTAGGTGATTCTCATTAATAGGATCGTGCTCGAATGATTCGACAAGTATCCGGTTCCTTAATAATCATATTTAAATTCATAAAATCAAACTAATAATATTTAAATTTTGACATATATAAATTATATTTATAATTTCAGGTGTTCGATAGGCTCGAGTTCAAACCGAGCCGAATACTGCTATGTTCGAGCTCGGCTCGATTAAGTTTTCGAACTTAAAACTTAGCTCGGGTTCAAGTTCTAAAGCTCATTAAGCTCGATCGGCTCGTTAGGTTCGCAACCAAGCTCGAAGTGGAATAGTTCGATAAAAGCTCGGTTCGTTAACAGTCCTACTTGGCAGCGGTGGCGGGGGACTCAATTTTGGGTGGAGGAAAAGTTAGATAAAATTCTTGTGTCGGAGAGTTGGCTCAATATTTTTGGTGATGTGGTAGCTGAATTGGTAAAGGGGTCCCCTAGTGATCATCTGACGCTTTTCATTAAATTATTTCCTTCCCGCGGATTTCACCGTAGGGGTAAATTCAAGTTCGAAATGACTCAAGTATTTCTGCAGCAGGGATGATAGCAGAAGATATACGAGATCTTAATTAGTTCAGGAATGATAGATGTTTCCTTTAATCTTGTTAGATGATCTGCAAACATGACGGCTCATGACTTTGCTCAAGCGGCCTATTCTGAGTCTTATTGTCATTCTTGGCTTGGTTTTCCTCCATTTATTTCTCATGTAGTGAACAATGATTTGATTAATGATAGTTAATTTAACTTTGGTAAAAAAAGGCGTAAAAGGGAAGGGAGCCACTTTAAATCTTGAAAGAGGTTGCCCTAAATAATTTAAGCCCTAAAGAATGTAACAATAATATTGTAATGGAAAAATGGATTAGAAAAATCCCAACTATTAGTGATAAGAATGTAACAATACATATTTTAATTATTACTCCCTTTGTCCTGTAAAATTTTTCACAGTGTGACTTTGATCAGAGTTTAAGAAAGTTAAAAAGGTGTGAATACCTGATAGCAAGCACCGCAACCGGCGCCATTCTTGAAAAGCCGACTAGAGACTGCGCAAACCTCACCGTTGTTGGTGGTTCTCCCATATTCTCCATACCCACATGCTCCACCTGATCATATACTAAAACAATTAATATATAATGTATTGTGACAAAAATAATTTAAGTGAATTAATTAAATTTATCTGCAATTATAATGATGCCATACTTGGGTTCCCCATTTCGTCATTTGTTCTGTAATAAGTTGCTTTTGAAGAGAAGTTTCGTTGGGAGTTACAAAATGCTGGGACTAGGAAAACAGAACACACAATAAAAATATTCCAATACTGGGGAAAAATATTCATTTTCATTTATTGTAAGTTAGTTTGGATCACATATCTCCCACATATGAATATATTTCAGGCAAATATAATGTTTTTTTCATGAAACAACTGTAATTTTCAATGAATAGTATGAAGCATGGTGCTCCTACTTTCTTCACCTAGACTTCATACAATCCATGCCTTTTGTACCACCACTTTAATCTGTGCATACTCAGGGGAGAATATCCAAATTTGATCTAAACTTTAAAGTATCGTTTCAAATTTATTTGTCATATTTGTTGCCCGGCCAAACAGTTCTTACAATTTAAAATATTTGAAAATCAATGAGACAAATAAAGGAACACAAAAACATGTGTGCTCGGGGTATGTATAAGCACTGGAGGACCTGGGTCATGGGAGGTAAGTGCCCTCACTTTCGGTCCCGAAGACACTCTAGTACTAGGCTCATAGGCGAGCGTATAAATTGCTAGAAAGAAATATTGTTGCAGTGAAGAAGAGAAATGCATATATAAAACCTGATTATTTTCAAAGTAATACCATTTTGATTTCGAGTATTGTCAAAATTGAAGAACTTTATTTTGAGTATGAATATTAGAATAAGCATCCATCACACTATAGTTGCATTATAATGAGCAACTTTGTGACTACATTTACACCATTTGCATGTCCTCAAAGAAAATTCATGGTTTAGTTTATGATGTCAATTAGATGATAAAACTATTTTTTCTTACTAATAATTGGATTAGTATGAAAAATTCAGATTTGGCTTACATATTAAGATCTACACTAAAGTAATTTTGTTTTGAAAGGTACACCGAAGTAATATTGAATAGCAAAAATGAATGTATACTACAAAAATAACAATTTGGGAAAACTGTCAAATAGGTCATCGAACTTTCATAAAAAAGTCAATTAAGTCCTCCTATAAGAGACTCTGTCTGGTCGTCGCGATTTGGGGCCGTTACCGGTGGAATTTTTTGATGAAATTTTTTGAGCATCTTAATCATCAATTCTTGCTTACTCATACCAAATTTCAGCTAAAAATTCAATCGGGAGCACATTCAAATTAATTCAATAAGGCAAAAATGCGCAGTTATCTTCAAGAATTAATTTGAACGTGTTCCCGATTGAATTTTTAGCTGAAATTTGGTATGAGTAAACTAGACTTGGTGAATACGATGCTCAAAAAATTTCATCAAAAAGTTCCACCGGGAACTGCCCCAAATCGCGACGGCTAGACAGAACTTCCTATAGAAGGACTTAATTGACCTTTTTATGAAAGTTCGAGAATCTATTTGACAGTTTTCCCTAACAATTTTAACTCATATTGTGTGTTTCTTTGGCAGACTTTTGACATGGCTCGAAGCCAACATCTTGTAAGGAAACAATTTTGATCCCAATCTTTAAATCTTGACTGAATATGGGTAAAAGCTTTTTTGGCGAAGAAATTAGCATGGAACCATAATACATGATAAATTCATGTTGAATCCGTTTTTTTTTTTATTGAAATGTAGTTCGTGAACCCTGTATTCCAATGTAGCCAAGGCCGGTCGTAGCAGTTTCAAAAGGCATAGGGGTGAGTGATCTATAATAGGCCAAATATTTAAAGAATATTGTAAATTTTTTTCTACTCTTCTCTTTATTACTTTATCTTTTCCAGATTCGTCCAATTTTATTACATTTTAAAATTAATTTAGTTTTATATATAGAATGAAATTTTCAATTTTTATGGAATTAATATTAATACTATCACAAAATCAAAATTCAATTTCATAATTATTTTTAACTAGAAAAGCTAAAAATATTCACAATTTCATTATTTGAAAAAAATGATACTCCATATTTAATACTTCAACAAATTTAAAATACACAAATTCAATATCAAACAGAACAAATTCACAATTTCAGTATTTCACGTTTCAACAAGACAACAATCAATAAGTAAGTGATCAACTAAAATTCCAATTTCGATATGAAAACTATTAACTAATAATGTATTAATGTAGTAAGTAAAAAACATAAATTAGGGATTTAAGGGGAGGTGCACCAAAAGTACAATAACAAAATTGCAGATCTGTACAAGCAGAAGTGAGGAGAACCTCTCGTGTTTTAACAATTTGTTTACTATTCTTCTTACTCGGCCTTATTGATTGGAAGGAAATACCGGATAGTCCAAAAAACTCAGCCTGCTTGACTTAAGTATAAAAAATAAATATTGAACCTAATTTTGTTTCACCTTTTTTGGGTCCAAGGACTCTTGACCCTGCTGCCCTCCCCCTAGAGCTGCCTTGATTGTAGTTTGTGGAAATCTAGAATTGTAAATCTGAACTGAACTTCATTTTCGGATAGTCATAGTACAAAAATATTGTCCCTGTCTAAATGACTGTTGATGGTATTGGTCCACCTCATCCGAGACACCTTTGTGTTGTCTTTGGTCCACCTCATTTATTAAGTTGGTCTCCTATTAATTGTCCTGGCCCAATTGGGTTGTCTACCCGACCAAGCCCACTCCCCTTGTTTTGTTCTATTCCCAGTCCATGCCCCTGTGGCCCTATGTTATATTGTCTGGTTCTTTCTCGAATCTCCTATTTGACTCGTCCCCTTCATCTCTCTTTCGATGAAGCAAACAGTTGGTTTCCCTAGACCTAAAGTGAGAGAGAGACAGTTCCCTGAGAGTTTTAGCTCCAGCTATACTCCGGTGATACTTTGGGATTCCCTTGGGGGTCTTCACTCTAGTCTGGTAGTGTGGTGGGTTGTTTACTCCTTCGGTGGGGCTTCTGGGCTGGGGTCTGGGTTCTGAGTGTGAGGGTTTGTTGGCTGTCGCTCTTCGTCTTCCTTGGTTGTAACTCTGGTGGTGAGTGTGAGCAAGCCTTTGGGCTTTGTGGTGATTGAGGTCTGAGCCGGTCCGAATTTCCAACAGTGGTATCAGAGCCTGGACGTTGCTGCCTCTCGCTGACGCCGGAAGCTTGCCGGACAACTCCCGCACCGGAAACGACTGAAGCTCCATCGAAGTTGGTAAGTCGGGTTGTCTTTGCTGAACACCCGCTTAGGTATAACACTAAAACCCTAACCCTTGGGCTGCCGGAGTGCCACCGGCTTCTGTGATGAATGGGTAGTTCTGAAACCCTAGGTTGAGGAACTGCCGGTTAGAAACCCTAGTTTTTTAACCGTTGCATGTGTAGATTCTGTCTAGACAGATCTGCAGAAACCCTAGGTTTGTTGAACTAGTGCATGTGTGGTCCAATCTGTGTCGAACTTGGCCACTGGTTATCTGTGAACTTGATTGGCTTATTAAATTTATTCTCTGTGTGTTGTGGTCTTTAATTACTAGCCCCTGTGTGTTGTTACCTCAGAACCTGTCTCTGTATTGCTGTAGCTTGCCTTATTTCTGTTGTATTATTTGTGTTATTTCTCTGCTCAGTCAGTCTGTCAATTCCTGTGCTTGGTGTTGAGTTCTGGTAATAGTGTGGATTTCTAACCCCTAGTTGGCTAGGGCACCTGAGGTTAGGGCTAAGTACCCTGCCAGCCACTTTAGTGGCCCCGGAACTGCGTGGTCACTTAGTCCGCAGCCCAAACCACCAGGGTTAGCCGTTATATTACCTGTATCTCAACAGCTTGGTGTATTGACTGTTATCATGGCTTCAAACCAGTATGGTATGATGTCTTTTAATGGTAAGACTGATTTTGATATTTGGAAACAGAAAATAAAATGTGTGTTAATTCAACAGAAAGTATATAGAGCTGTTATTGGACAATACTTAGAAACTGAGGATAAACCTAAACAAGTTGAAATGAATGAAACAGCCTGCTCAACCATATATTTAAACTTGTCTGACTCTGTCCTTAGAAAGGTTGGAGTCATTGAGTCTGCTAAAGCCCTCTGGGATAAACTTGAGTCTCTATATACTGATACTTCCCTTCCTGGCAAACTGTTTTTGTTGGAAAAGTTTTTTAGGTTCAGACTTGACCTAACAAAAGATATTGATGAAAACCTAGATGTTTTTAATAAACTAATCCAAAACATTAAGCAGGCTGGGGATAAACATATAGATGACTACACTGTCATAGTCTTACTGAATGCTATACCTGATTCCTATAATGATGTTAAGTCAGCCATTAAGTATGGGAGGGATGACATAACCCTAGATATTGTTATTAATGGCCTGAGAAGTAAAGAACTTGACTTAAAACATTCTAGGAGCCATCATAGGGAATCTGGGGAAGCTTTGTTTGTTAGGGGAAGGTCTAAAAGCATGTCTAGACACCCTAAAAAGGACAATCATGATAAGAATGGTAGACAACCTAGTAAGAAGAGGTTCAAGTCTAGGAAAAGAGTCTGCTATAACTGTGGTAACCCATGACATTTCATAAAAGATTGCACCCAACCTAAGAGAAATGACCAGGCTAATGCTGTGACTAGTAAACCTGTAGAGGAAGAAGTCTTTATGGTCTGTGATCAGGCCAATTCTGTGCTTAGTAGTCTGACTGAATCTGAATGGTTAATAGACTCTGGGTGTACCTACCATATGACCCCTTTTAGGAATCTGTTCTCCTCCTATAACTTATGTGAAACTGGTTTTGTTTCCCTAGTTGATAGTAAAAGGTGTAAGGTCCTTGGTATTGGTGACATTTGTCTAAAATTTGAAAATGGAACTGTTTTTCAAATAAAAAATGTTAGGCATGTACCTGATTTAAGGCATAACCTACTTTCAGTCTCTGCTTTTGAAGAATGTGGTCTTGAGGGTAAATGGGGGAATGGGTGTATGAAAATTCTGAAAAACTCCCTTGTTTTGTTTAATGCTTTGAAACAAAATAACCTTTATGTTGTGCATGCCAAACCTTTTTCTGAATATGCTAATGCTTTACTTAGTGACAAGTCTGTGCTTTGGCACCAAAGACTAGGTCACGTGAGTAATAGAGGATTAAACATTTTGAAACAAAATGGGTGTTTTGGTAATGACTTGGTGTCACCTATACCTTTCTGTGAAGGTTGTGTCTTAGGTAAACAACATAGGGTTCAGTTTCCTGGTTCTAGCTATCCTAGTGAGCCTAAGTCTAAA